AGATCATAACACTGCCTTCACCACCCTGCCTTCTTCCCATAGTGCATCCTGCTGCCATCTCTTCACTAGATAAACGACACAAGCACCCGGCCGTCCACCTGATCTAAAAGGAAATATGACTCATCAGACGAGGCAAACTTCTTAATCTGCTCCATACTGCAGTTTGTGCACATTATAAGCTTTCATCAGTGAGTCTTGGGTGTCCATGACCCTGACACCAGTTCACTGCTGGTGCTTCATTGCACCACTTTTGCACTAACCACTGCATTCCAGAAACACCCAAACACAAGACTTGCCGTTTTGGTGATGCTCTGACCCAGTTTTCTAGCTGTCACCATTTGTCCCTTGTCAGAGTCACTCAGATCTTTTCGCTAGCCCATTTTTTCTGATTCCAACACAAGAAACTTTAGAACCTGCTGTTCACTTGCTGCCTATCATATCCCCCCTTGACAGGTGCCATAGTAACAATAATCAGTGTTATTCACTTCAGCTGTCAGTGGTTTTAATGTTGTGACTGATCAGTGTACATTATGTGCTGCTATTACCTTATGAACTGTGATTGAATTATAAGTTGCAACAGTCTGTTCATAATGTAATACATGCATCATACAATAAACTATTACATTATGTGAAAAATTATTATTACATTGACAGTTTATCACATGATGAGTTCAAGATTTTATTACATTTGAGAATTATTTTAGTTTTATTACATTAACAGTGCAATACTTTTACATTACGTGCTGTTATTATGTTATACTTGATCACATTATGAGTTGCTACAGTCTGTTTTATTGGTATTTGTCTCCACTCTTCACACCCTTTACATTCTTACACTCCTCACTTTTCCACAGCTTTACACACTAATTTCTTCAGTTTTTTTAATCTGAAGTGATTCATCACAATTTAATGGAGCTGTAGATTGTTTACTACAGTGACGCATTGCTGCCGCACATATATTTTTTCCCCACTCAGTTATCTCGTAATAACCAGATGTTTTCTCGTTAAAACTACATATTTTTTCTCGAAATAACGA